AGATTGGGTAGACTAGGTCTGAGTCAGTTTGTACCCTTTTTCCTTTCTTAAGTCTATTGTATTTTGTGTGGCTCCTGATGCTTTATAACTTGGAAGATTTCTGACTGTTCCCTAGAGTTTACTGTTTTTGGTAATATCATCCGGAATGATTTTATATCGTCCTGGACGATCAGTTCAAAAGCAGAAACCCTGATTAGGGCATCCTCATTAAAGCAGTCGTCATTATGCAAAAAACATCGTCCTGGACGATTTTGTATCGACCAGGATGATAGGCTCAAAACAGAAAGAATCTGCCGCCAGATCTATTTAGGCATTACTTATTTTTGGACATCGTCCAGGTGGATCGTCCAGTACTATAAAATATCATCCAAGACGATCCAGGACAATTTTTCCAAAATTTCTCTGGAATTTAAGGAAAGCAATTATGACTTGATTACACGATCAAATAGTCCTGGACGATCACAAAATCGTCCAGGCCGATACGCTGGACGATTGGACATCAGACAACTATTTTTCAGGGGATGTTCAGGACGATATTCCATGATTTGTTCTGATCGTCCAGGACGATATATTATCGTCCTGGACGATATGAACAAACTTCTTCTGATCGTCTCAAATCGTCCCGGCTGATTGGGCTTATTTTGCACTGATCGTACATGACGATATTAGTATCGTCCTGGACGATAATGTCGGCAACTTGCATTAATGAGCTCATTTTGAGATCTTCTATTTAAGCTATGACATGACACTTAATAAGTGTCTTTGGCAGCCATTGTTGCTTCGTTCTTTTGGGGGAAACTTGAAGCGAGAGTTTGAAAGGGTGTAGTTTGAGAGAGGGAGAAGATCCTGTGAGGGGGGACTCAAGGGAGTTTGGAGGAGGTTCTACACGGTTGCTCCGGCAAGCTCGCACCTGAATACCGTCGGATTCAAGGCTTTTCTCGAGGGAAGTTCACCAAAGAAGAAGATCTCTTTGGTGTCAAAGGACCCGGCGACTCTGCCGCACCAGGGAAGGCGGAAGTGATTTTGAAAGGGCTTCTCCGCCTAGCTGTGGGGGATAAAGGAGAGACACTTAGTTTAGTGCAATACTTGGAGGGTGCCTCCAAGGAGTGGACGTAGGTCAAGGTTTGACCGAACTACTATAAATCCGGTGTGTTCTTTATTCATTACTTTCGCATTTTATTTCCGCACTTTGGTTTTTATTGTGGTGATTTTGCTTTTGATTTGTGTTTTGATTGAAAGATATTTTTTTTTTCCAATTCACCTCTATCTCTTAATTAGCTTTGGGCCAGTTCATAGGTCCTAACATCCCTAACGAACTTTCAGTTTTAAGTGCACGGCGACATAAATTTTAATTTCCAATACCTAGACATGTTTCTACTATATGCTAAATACTATATATCTGCTTGACAACTAGCCTAAATCGAAAGTACTTTCTCGTTATCGGGAGGGGTAATTAACTATAGGGGTTTGCACCTATAAGAAACATGAACTCAGATCCTGAAGTCCTTGCAAAATGAGGGAGAAATCTCTAGGTAATGTCTTATCTAAAACACAATCTTCCTTTTGAAAATTTGCTTCGAAACTTAAATGTTAAAACTCTGCTCGACGACCCGAAAAAGAAAGGGGCCGTGGAGAGGCTAGAGCGCGAATTTTTGGATCCCACAGTTACATAAAGGATAAAAGTTTGAGGAAATCTTCAAGATGGTATTCTAATATCTAAAGTTATTATTCAACTCATTCTATTTAAAGTGACTACTTTTCTTGATCCTTTCAATGATTTACTTGGGTATTCTTATGCAACATTAATACTCAGAGAAAGAAAGACATTAATATAAACATTATTCTGCATATTCAAATTTTAAATGTAGTGAATATTCTGATATTCTAGGAAAATTCAAATTACAAAAGCAAACTTTTGTAGCAATTCCTCTTTATATTTCAATTTTTGTCTAATTGAAGTGCATTTTACCTATCAAATGGGACTTCCTTACATGCTTACAGCGTAAAGTGGAAGCTTACTGCAAGTGAAAAAATAAAAATAAAAAGACTGTTGATACTCATCCTTGTTGATCACTATCACTTGACTATCTTCAATTTCAACAGTACTGTCACTGTAACTCGAAGACTCAATTTTGTCAACAGATTAAAAAAATTGCTAGCATCATTCCATTTTTGCTTTAGGATGTTGAATTTAACCAAAACTTTTAAACATAACTTGTTGCTGTCTTCATATTTTGATGAGTCTCGGGCATCATAATTTTTGGAGTTACAAATTCTTTAAATGCTGTTGGCAAAAAGGTTTGGGAGTTCATAAATTTATTCAAAATTTAATATTCTTATCTCACTGGAAACTTACTTTCTCGTTTCTTAGATTTTTTATTGTTTTCAAGTTTGACAACTTAATTCTTCATAGTTTTGTGTTTGTCAGTAAACTCAAGCTTAAGTTAGACTGTGCAGAACAAACTCACCTACATCATGCAATGGTCTCAATCGATGTGATTCAACAAATTCCCTCTTTAATAAAACTGTTGTCTTCAAGCCATCAATCACTTGCCGCATCTTCTAAATAATTTCATTAAAATAAACCTTTGAGCATGAGCGCATAACCAAATGCTCAAAAAATTCTGCTTTATCTATCTCAGCTCAAACTTGACTAAAATTACAATGTTCTTCAACATGGAGATCATGACAAGCAAATTTTCTTTTAGGATGGGCTTGAACTTACCCTTTCTCGTCCTTAGTATTGATTCTAGCAAACTGGCAATTCAAACTAATCTTATCAATCTCCTTATTAGTTTCAAAACTTTTGGGCAGTTTGTCCACACTGGTGACTTCCTTATCAACTGCTTCTAGATTTTCTGCTTCCATAACAACTTGGACCTTTTTTAGTTGAACACATCAATTAAGACACTGAGCCAAAGGACTTTTGGAACTCAAGCGATGGCAAGACTGATCAAGGATCAATGATTTCTTTTCAAGATCTGTTTGCATTCAATTTAGAAAATCATGACGAGTTCAGAGTATTCAAGCGAGCATTCATCATTCCTTTAGAAACATACCTTGCTTTAGTTCTAACTTCTTGAATGTACCAATAGCTCGCTCATTAAGAACTCCACAATAACATTTAAATACTTTGTTAAATGCATCTTGGCCTCTTTTCCCCCAGTGGTGGTATCAACAAATGATGGTTTCTTGCCCACTCTTTTTTAAGTAGCGCCTTTATGATTGGTCTCTGTAGGATATGGAAGACTTAAAGAAGCACATATTAACTGATGTCCCTAATCAGTTGCTTTTGTAGTCTCTTTGGTGGGTTTAATCTTCACTTTCTTCATATGTGATTACGGTTCTAGCATCTCTTCGCTATACTCTTGCTTTTGCAAACATTTTGCTTGTGTTTTGTAAGCGGATAGAAACAATTTGTGGACAAGGGAAGTCATTAGCTAAAGCTTTATGAAACTTCATCATCTCAATATAGAACAAGTTGCTATAGGACAAAAGAGAAAAGGAAGTAGAATAGCAATAGTCGAAGATCCTTAAAACCCTAGTATGAATATTTATAAGCCTTGATGCTGACTTGTATGACAAAAAGTAATTAAATATATGTAATCACTGTGTTAGCTCGCCAAGGCTGAGTTGAGTTCTATAAATATTTATTCTCTTATTTTTGTTGACCTCTTCAAACAGATAGAACAATCAACAAACTAATATACACCCATAGTCGCCTAGGTCATGTAAATTATGTCCTATTGCAAACTTAAATTGGGCGCAACAAATGGCCATAAATGAACCAGTTCACAAAAACTCTTCAAGTTAGCTAAGAGAAACTTCTTGCTTACTCCTTCGAAGTGAAGTCGCCAAAGTGATCGACTTACTCATTCAAGAGGACTCATCAAGAGAATTCATCTCACTGAACCTGTATGCGGTGTGAAACTATACAAAAAATTATCAAGTAGCCGGATAATTACCTGCCAACAAGACTTATTTATTTTATAAAGCATAATTAAGTTTTACTATTTAAATTTACTAACAATACCTAATTTTAGCCATTTTTGTAGCGTTGAATCTTGATCTAAACTTAAAAAATTGGCGAGTAAGATGATGAGCTCAATGCATTCTAACAGACTTGCGTCATATCAATTTTGTAATCGATAACATTGAAATCTAATAAGATTTTTAAAGCTATTTTCTATAGTATTTTTTTCTTTTTTTCTCTTCTTTTTCTTCAGGCTTGGATCATATTTTTCAGTGAAGTTTTGATGTCAATGACATTTTCTTTTGGATCTAACAATATCAAACTCTTCTTGGGACCTACATTTGCGGGTTGGAGCTTCATGCACTATATAGGCACTCTTTTTGGCATAATTTCAATGGACCTAAATTAATAGATAATTTTGTTGAGCGATTTTTCCTATGAAAACTTTTTTCATCAATTTTGATTATAAAATTAAATGAAGGGTGGATTTCTATTGGAATGAAAATGGTCTTCCTACATTTTAACAACGGTAAAATATGATGTTTACTAAAATCTCAGGAAGTACAAGTCAAAACTAAAAAATTGAAATGAGTTGACCTTTCTTGAAATATCTGCTCCCTCCCTTGTTTATGTAGTTGGGTTTGCTTATTAGTTTTATTTTGGTGATGTATGATTTATGCCAAAGAGCAATTTACAATAACTGCAAATATACTACAAATGCTGCTCTGAATATGATAAAGATATTCAAAATGAGGATGGTATACGGTAGGCTATTTGATATCAATTACAATTTGGAATAGCAAAGATGTTCTCAAGGTGGAGGAAATGGTAAGTGGATGCTAGTAATAAAATGCCCTTAAAAAATGATACTAGACCAACATTGTTTTGTGCCTATCATATTTTGCAAATTTTTTCATTCATCCATTAATTTATACTTCTCATTTTCCCACCTATACAAAGGGTGTTAGTTCTTTCATTGGCGGCCTTTTGTTTCATATGTTTTTAGTGAATATGGTGTTTTATGTAGGAATGATTCAGGGATACTTCTTCGAACTGAGAGGCTAAGAACCACTGACATAACACAACGGGTAAAGATGAAAGGCTATTGGCAGGTATGAATTTCACGTAGCTCATCTATATAATATCTAACTTTAGTGCATATAAAATGTGGTTTAAGCTTATAGAAAAACTTGACCTCCTCATCATCGCCATTAGCCTTCTTCCAACTAATTGTTTTTACTTCTAAAAAAAAAAAAAAAATTTTAGCTTTTTGAATCTTTATTCTTTACACATTCCTTTTGAGTGTAGTTTGAGCTGTTAAAAATCTATTTTATGCAATGTTTTCTTGTACTTTATCCATGTTACTATTATTCTATCAATTTTTTCCTCTAATTCTTGTGCATAATTTTACCCACCCCTATAATTTGGTGCTTCAATTATTTGTGTACATGCTCAAACCATCAAAATGTAGTTTTCAGACCTTATTTGCAAATTTTGAATAGGTTCTACTCTTGTATTACCTCTCATTCAGGGGCTATTTGGTTTGAAGTAAAAGGGGTGTAAAGTATTTCAAATACGGAGGTTTGGAGAATATTGGTATTTGGGTTGAAGTAAACCAAATGCAACGCAATATTTTGGTGTATTTGGATTTCATCATCTAGTTCATTTTTTATGTATTTGGAATTCATCCGATTTGGTTGATCCAAATACACTAAAACTTCATTGTCCACCGACTCTCACCGCACCGACCATGGCCTGCCACCTCCACTGCTGGTAGCTATCGTCCGCCGCGACCGTCGTTGCTGGCTGCCACCACTACCGTCCACCACCATTGTCTGTCACTTCCACCGGCCACCACCACCACTGCAAGTATAGGATCACTCTTTGTCGCTTTGCTTCTGATTGATCAGGTTCCCATCCGAGTGCCCTATATAGAATTTTTGGGTGAAATCGCTTACCAATGAGAAGAATCCATGATTGATTTTAGAAACATGAAAATAAGGGAATGGTAATGGGGAATTACCTCATAGGTGCAATCAGCTAAGTTGTCAATGGTACCATGGAAGTTGGCACACCTCATTTTGTTGAGAATGAGGATGACATTAAAGGGAGCTTGGGCTGGTTGGACATTCAACATTTACGTTGAAATAGCCCCATTTGTCCTAGTTCTGGGCGGTGACGGATGGCTTGTTGATACTCGCTACTGGTAAACATCATCTGATGTAGGCAACGACCGGCCTTTGTGCTGGAAGCGTAGTGGAGGCCAGCCCGGGAGGGAATTTGGGCATGGTGAAGAAACTCCCAAACCTGTAGAGTTTCTTAACCTGCAAGAAGAATAACAAGCAAAACATAACAATGAAAGAAGAAGAAGAATGAGACGGTAATGAAGAAGAGGATGAATCCAAAGTTCATGTCTTCATCCATACACCAATATCTTCTACAGTGGTTTATTATATACATAATAACAACAGTATATAAATTACATTGTAACCCTTTGTTGTTTGCTAAAAGAGACGCATTGTTGTCAGGTGAATTAACATAAATGTATTATGATGAGAAGTATACAGAATGAATGAGGAGAACAAAACTAGTCAGAAACGTTAGTAGCAGCTTTGTCATGCCCCAGCAAGTTGATGGGTGTGCATACCTTCAACAGGCCATGATGATAATTGAACCTAGCGGTAGGTAGAGTCTTTGTTAGTATGTCTACAATTTGATTGAAGGAGGAAATGTAATGCACTGAAAGAATTTTGTTGTTGATGTTCTCTCGAATAAAATGATGATCGATTTTTATGTTAGGTGTACGGGCATGGAAGATGGGGTTGGCAATTGCCATTGCAGAAATATTATCGCAGAAGAGAGTAGTATCTAAACTAATTGAAAAATCTTGGCACAGCGAAGCCAAATAATTTCAATTGTAGCTGCTGCAAGAGCTCGATATTCCACTTCAGTTGAAGATCAAACGAACGGTCAACTGTTTTCTAACAGCTGAAAAAACAGACGTGGAGAGTAGAGTGCTGCTCAAGAAGATGCAATAGCTTGTAGTAGATCTGCGGTCTTGGGTACCACCGACCCAATCTGAATCGGAAAATGCTGTGAGCTGAAGGTTGCCTCTTTGAATGAGAAGACCATGAGTTGAAGAATCCATTTTAACAATTGGAAATAGTGTTGGGTAGGTTGGTGCATATTTTGACAAACTTTATTGACCGCAAAGCTGATATCGGACGAATATTTGTAAGATGCTGAAGAGCTCTAGCTAGTTGGCGATAGAGGGAAGGATTGTGAAATGGTTGATGGTCGGCAGGATCAAGAATAAATTTGCAAAGTAGGGGATTGGACAAAGGTTTGCAGTTTTTCATACCTGCCTTATCCAGTAAAGTGTGAATGTAATTCTATTGTTGAAGAAGATAGCCATCTCCTTTTAAGTGGAAATCAATGCCGAGGAATCTAGTGAGCTGTCCAAGATTTCTGATATGAAACCTGCTCTGTACTTGCTAAAGTAAGGATGAAATGAAAGGTTGATTGTTGTCCGTGACTAACATATCATCAACATATATAGGTATATAAGCAGTAATGTTGTTGGCATTGTAAATGAGCAAGGATCAGCTTGGCTGAAATGAAAACCATGGGATAAAAGATAATTTGAAAGTGTAGCAAATCATTGACGAGGTGCTTGTTTAAGACCATAAAAAGTTTTCTTGAGTAAGCACACATGAGTTGAAAATTGTGAGTCTTGAAATCCTTGAGGTTGAGACATGTAGATTGTTTCATTGAGCTCACCATGAAGAAAAGCATTGACAACATCTAATTGCAAAATTTTCCAATTTGTACGAAGGGCAACAATGAGGAATAATCTAATTGTTTGAAACTTTGCAAGGGGGCTAAAAGTTTCAAAGTAATTCAAGCCATATTCTTGTTTAAAGCCTTGAGCAACAAGGCGGGCTTTGTGTCTTGCATTGGTACCGTCAGAGTTATATTTTAGTTTGAATATCCATTTACACCCAATAACATTGAAGTGAGATTGAGGTGGAACCAATGTCCAAGTGCCTTGGGATTGCTAGACGAGAAATTTATCTGACAAAGCCTTGCGCCACTCCGAAAATTTGATGGCGGATGAATAGCAGGTTGGTGTGGTATGGAGGGAATGAGAGAGGTCAAGAATTTGACGGGGTTTGAGTGAGCTAGTTTGAAGGTGAGTAACCATATGACGACGAAGTGGAGTGGGAAGTTTGGTGGAGGAGGTAGCGGATGTGGAGATGTGAGAGGATTGTGGGTAGATGGAAGAAGGGGATGAGGGAGTATGGGTAGTGGGAATAAATGGAGAATGAGAATCAGATGGAGCAGTTGGAGAAATATTTGAACTGGATGGAGGTGGTGGAAGAGGGGCAATGAGAAGTGGACTAATGTATGTGGAGTTCGAAGTAGTGGAAGAAGGTGTTTGAAAAATGGATGGAGAATGAAGTTCATTAAAGATAACATGTCGAGATACAATAATGCGGCCATTGTTTGGATTGAAGCATTTGTAGCCCTTCTGGTTTGTGGCATAGCCAAGGAAGATACATGGAGCCGAGCATGGATCAAGTTTGCTAGATGTGTAAGGTTGAAGCCAAGGTAGCAATGACAGCCGAACACTCGTAGGTGAGTGTAGGTGGGAGGTTTGTTGAAAAGAATTTGGAAGGGAGAGTGGGAAGATGTATTTATGGATGGAAGGCGATTAATAAGATAGACGGGTGTGAAGGGCATCCACCCAGAATCGTGCGGGAAGATTGGCTTCAAAGAGGAGAGTCTTGGTTGTTTCTAAAAGATGGTGTTTGCGTTCAACGATACCATTTTTTGGGGGTATACGGACATGTGAATTTGTGTTGAATGCCATTCGTATGAAGAAAGAACTTAAGATTGGTGTTGATAAATTCACCACCACCATCTGTATGTAAAGTTTTGACAGGTTTATTTAATTGTTTTTCAATGAATGATTTGAATTCGATGAGAATTTGTATTGTATTAGATTTAAATTTTAGTGGAAAAGTCCAAGAATAACGTGAGTAGTCATCCACTAAAAGTAGATGAAACCGAAAGCTGCCATTTGAAATAATTGGAGAAGGTCCCCAAATATTAGCATGAAGTAATTCAAGAGGTGCAGAAGTAAAACTATGTGACTCATTAAATGAAAGTTTATGGCTCTTTGAAAGAGCACACGAGTTACAAAATTTTTGTGAAGAGAAAGAAGGAATACATAGTTCAGGAAATTGCTTTGAAATAGCTGAAATTGTGGTAGAGTTGGGATGACTGAGACAATGATGCCAAATTTCTGAGGAGACTGAAACAATGTGAAGTTCAACCGGAGATGGTCGAGAGGGCGGTGTGTAGTTGTGAGGAAGAGGATAAAAGATGTTATTGCAGGTCCCTTTGAGAAGATGTTGATGATTCTTCCTGTCCTGAATGATATAGCCATGGTGATCAAAAGAAATGAGAATGTTATTATCATAAATGAGTTTAGAAAGAGAAACAAGATTGTGTGATAGCTTGGGTATGTGAAGACGAGGTTGAAGAGAGCATACGAGTCGGAGTAGGAAGCAAGCCTTTGTCAGAATGTTGGATCGGTAAGGTTGTCCCATTGCCAACGGTAACGTGATCTGTTCCATAATGGCATAGATGATGCTGCAAAGCTTAAACATTTTGTGTTAGGTGAGCGTTGCGCCATTGTCCAACTACCAATCAGAGGTGGGAGGAGTAGTAGCTAGCATAGCCTGAGTATTGAGAGAAGCAGAGGGAGTATACTAAAGATTCGTCTGGTGCCAACACGTCAGGGCGGTGTGTCCTCTCTTCCCGCAAATTTGACATTCAATAGTTGATTGTGGAGGAGGTGGCGGGAAGAGGTGAAGGGGAAGCGACCACGTCCGCGTCCATGAAAGAAACGTACACATCCACGATTTCTGGTAGATGTAAGAGAAAACTGATGCTCGATGCCAGAGGTGGAATCAGAGAGATGGATTTCTTTCGCAGCTTTTGTAGCCAAATTAATTTCTTCGCTGCTTAGAAGTGAGTATAGATCGTTGAGATTAATGGATGTGAGCTTTATCCTTATAGCAATTTTGAAAGCTTGGTAGTTAGATGGTAGCCCATTAAGGATATATAAAATGATGTCCTTAGTGTCAATGGATCCGCCTGTAGCGGTAATGTTATCGACGAGGTGCTTGACGATAGATAGGTATTCAGCCATGGACTGATTTTTCATAGAGATAGAGTGCAATTCATTTTTGAGTTGTATAACTTTTGATCTTTTGATGGAGTGAAGACGACATTCGAGTGTAGACCAAATGGCAGAGCAAGAATCAATGTTTAATATATGTGGTAGAATGGAAGAAGAAACTGTAGAGAAGAGAGAAATGGCGAGGTTTTGATCTATAAGTTGCCAAAGAATGTATGCAGGATTTAAGGTAGGTTGGCCAATTTCAGAAATGATATGCTTAGACGGACATGCATTGGTGCCATCTAAGTAGCTAGAAAACCCATTAGCAGTAAACAATTTGTAGATTTGAGCTCGCCATGTGGGATAGTTATCTGCAAGGAGCTGGGTATGAACAAAATTTTTGTTGCTTGAAAAGAGAAATTTAAGGGAGGGAGGAATAGAGAGATCCGGTGTTTGGTTTTGAGCCGTGTTATGGAGTTAATGGCAGAATTAAATTCAACCATGAGTGTAGGAGAGAGATGCTGTTAAGCTTGTTGCTCTGATACTATGAAGAAACTCCCAAACCTGTAGAGTTACTTAACTTGCAAGAAGAATAACAAGCAAAACAGAACAGTGAAAGCAGAAGAAGAATGAGACGGTAAAGAAGAAGAGGATGAATCCAAAGTTTTTCATGTCTTCATCCATACAACAATATCTTCTACAGTGGTTCATTATATACATAATAACAACAGTATATAAATTACATTGTAGCCGTTTGTTGTGTGCTAAAAGAGACGCAGTGTTGTCAGGTGAATTAACAGAAATGTATTATGGTGAAAAGTGGTGCAGAACGAAAGAAAAGAAGAGTAGCACTAGTCAGAAACGTTAGTAGCAGCTTTATCACATGGATGTGATTAAAAAAAAAATAACTGTTTTGAAAATATTTAAAACATCAGAAATTTATTCAAGTATTTTTATTTGCTTTTAAAAAATAAAAATTGCTTCCAAAAGGCCTTAGGGATGCGATTGGCATGGCTTCCCAAACAATGCCCCATACGATTTCTGTCTGCGAGGCCATGTTTTGGTTATTTCTGTACGGGAGTTTGAAAGCTGCCTTCCAAATTGTGCCCTCCGCCGTGGACAAGCTGCACGAGCTGGAGTAACCTGAATAAAATGCACCCTAGATCTCCATACTTCATTAGCATGACTTTCTCAAATATATGGACCATCTAGTCTTCTTTCAATTTTTTGATACTTGGCGGTTCTCTTTTTTCAACTTTTACAATCAAGATTCATAGTTTCCAATAGCAGTGGACAGCATGCACTATAGAATGCTCCAACTTGAAGGAGCAGCGGAAGGATTTAAAACAGATTAAACTAGAACAAATTAAAGCAAATGAATCTCCGAATTGAAATGGGAAAAATAGCCATCCAGGTTCCATGACCATAGGGGAAAATGGATACTGTTTGGTGTTTTGAGCAGCTATTGCAGGGACAATGGGACAAAGTCTTAGGCCTCAGCGTTCAAAGAAGTTATGGAGGGTGCTTTACAGATTTAGATACGTTTTGATATTTTGGCTTTCTATTATTATTATTATTAGTAGTACTTCATCTTTTCATGGTCGTGGATATCAAATAATGGCATTAAGAAAGAAGAAAAATATGTGGCTATAAAATTAAGCTATCAAATTATAAATAAACTTTATTTTATTTATAAATAAGAAAAATTTTCTTTTAAACATTATCAATGAGAATATAATTGAAAATAGACATGTGGACAAAGGGTGAAAGATTCATCATGAATAGATAAAAAAAGTGTTACTCTTAGGGTCACTTTATATTATTGTAAGTTTTTGTAGGTGATTGGATCTTACTTTGAGAAGTTCAAATTGCTTGTTTGGCTGTATGTAGATGGAACTAGAAATAGATATCTATTTTTGAAGCTCACGTAAAAAAAGGTGAGAAAGGACTTTTAATTAGGGGTGTTAATTATTGATCTGACCCGAACCTGACACAGAAAATTCGGGTTCTGGTTGACTCGTTTAAGAAATGGTTCGGGTTCGGGTTCCAATTTTTGACCCGTTCGAAAAATCGACTCGGATCAGGGACACTTGCTAACCGAATTTGACTCGAGTCCCCATCCTTCCTCACCAATCTCCCTTGTGCAGGCGCCTGGCCCTGGACTCATGAACCTCTACAGTCGTGCTCGCTGTGATTGCACTCATTGCCCAAAGTGGCGTAGGCGCTCGCGGTGAGTTGTCCTCATCCTCGACCACTCATGGTCGAGCCCTCGCGGCACTCGAGCAGTCGTGCACTCGTGTCGTCCCGCCCTTGCCCATAGTCGCGCACTCCCCCCCGCCAAGCATGTAGTCTTACTCGCGTAGTTTTGGAGGGTTGTAATGGCTTCTGCCACTTGCTTCAATGCGACCCATTTTAAACATTGAGATTTAAATATTTTCAAATAATTACGGTAAAACAAACTGTCCCTTGCTAGATGTTCCAATATCTATCACACAAAAAATAGAAAAAAAAAAACTGTTACAAGTTTGTAAGATGGACATAGAACCCTCCCACTTTGAAGCGTTGCTGTTTCTATGTATTTCAGGGAGGGGTTTGCCTAGCATTCGCTGATGAGGTCTTCTGCTGGCTATACGGAACTGTAAAAGACAGTAAGTTCTGAATATCATTGTATTTCGATTGCCGCCAAGGCTTTATATCTTTTGGATATTTATTCTGAACTTGAACTGTTTTTATTTTAAACGACAGATGAAGACTATATTCTGCAATTTGTTCATCCCTACAATCGCTTGGAACTTCTCCGAGCCCAAACATCACCAGAAGCCATCAACAAGCATGTAGAACAACTCCTAACTTACTAATAAACACAGTTCTAACACTTGGTTCTGTACCTCAATATACAGTTTTCATTTGTATGGCTTTGGAATATTTTCACATCATTACACAACTCTACTTTCCAGCCATTTAAGCTTATGGCTATGGAGTATTCCAGCTTATACAACCACATGATGCAGTCTGTTGGATAAATAGTGGATTTAATAAACATTATTTTATCCCATTGTCAAAAGGTTTAACGTAGGCAAGTGTATGCTCCATTACACATCTTGGTAGATGTATATATTTCAGTTATGATTGCATAGTTTGAAATGAATATTGGACTGTTGTAGTCATAATAGATTTCCTCAATTCAATTTGCTGTAGCTTTTGTTTTATCAACAATTACATTGAGTGCTGCTTTTTTCAAGCTTGAGTCTTTGAACTTACAGTAACCCGTGCTGATGTGGAATCGTGTGATTGGCGGATAAGAATGTTTTTTCCTGTAAGAAATCCCTTGTTATTAGATTTTATTGTTATGAAATTCAAGTTAGTTAATTATCTGCTTTTATGGGTTTTCTGCTCCAGGCTTAAAGAGCTGGTTGTGCTGTTTTGATATTATGTACCTTTTATTAATATACTTGTTATGATCTCAAATTTGGCTAAGGACTTGTTTGGTTGGAAGGATTAGGAGTACATTGAATTTCCTTTTTTTTCTGTATTTCATTTCTGTGGTGTTTGGCTTGAGAAAAAAGAAATATAAAGTAAAAAAAATAAAATTTGAGGAATTTCAAATACACTCCTTGGTTCAATTTTGAGGACATTAAGACTTGTCCGAATTGGCCGAATCTAAAATCCTGGGTTGGCCAAGTTCATTCTTGCTAAGTCACGACATCTTTTCTCCTTGTGAGATCTTGTCATGATTTCATGCTCGTAGAGAGCATCCTTCCTGATTTCCTGTTCTCATGCAAGGTCCTATTGCCGCCTTCATATCTTGATCTTGTCAAAAACCTTCACATGTCATTGATCTCATTGTTGGCCGATCCTGTCGGGAGTCCGTGTGAGCCTTTGCAAGCATTCACCTATAACGAGACGTAGTAAAAAAATAATTTTACTTGAGTTTGTTCTGCAAGTAATTATATACAAAATTGGATTATATTTGCAACTACGGGCTTATTTCAATTCAAATTATTTCTCCAGTGTGAGTTAATAATTATATAGTGTCGTTTTAAATAATCGGAGAAATTAATATATTATGATAGGCTTGAAGCAGGGTAATAGGTTTGAGTTGTAGGAGGATTCTTTGGTGGTGGAAGTTTTTAGGTGCCAAAGTCGTTATGAGTTGATGTTTTGGATAGCATCTAATAAGAAAATTTAGAAGTTGAGTAATGGTGAGTGATTAGTTTGATTATTCTCTTGATAGGGGGGAGAAAAAAATGAACAAGAGGATTAATTGTTTGTGACTTGCAGCTCTTTATACATCATTTGTTAGTATGCATTTGGAGGTGGTTGTCAAGGGATATTAGAAGCTAGGCGATGATGGGTATTTAGTTTGGACCCTGTATCTTAAATTCATATTAGTTTTTAGATTTTTCAGGTAGAGTTTGCTTTTTTTTTTTCCTTTTTACTTTTTACCATCTTCTTGGGCTTGTTTGCAGTTTTTGGTGTTGATGTTGTAGTTTTGGAGGGTTGTAATGGCTTCGGTTCATTTGGAATGAAGTATTTAGCATATTGGTACATTTGTATTTCATGAACTACAAATTGATGTATATTGCTAAAATTCTTGAACTCTTCTCCATCTCTCAAATATTTCATGTGTTGGTGTAGAATAGAGGAATGATACCATAATGGGCCTAAAAGTACTTCGAACAAAGTGTAGCATTGATCACATGAAAATTTTCTTATATGTAGAGTTTTTTAAATCTTAAGGGAAGAACAAAAAACCCTTTGGTTTTTTGCTCCTTTGCATTGAATTCATGCTCTGCCAACTTATCTCATCTAAGACGCTAGATCATAAGAGGCAACCACGTTAATGTTAGCATTTCGTGATATTCTTTAAGGAACTAGGGTCGAAAAGGATTCAGCTTATGGTTACACTGTCACTCTCTACCGTAACATGCAAATGGTGATTATACTATGATATCTCAAGCATGAGATCATTTTCAAAGAATGTGATAATGCGTTCATTTTAAGGTGACAAAACTTTAGTTAGGCATCTCTAAGCAAAATACACTTCATATTTCTCCTTTTTTCAAGAGCTTGAATTAAAGTTTTTTTAAGGTCGTTGATATCAAAAAAGATTCATATGCATTTAGTTATGTAGGAATGTTCTTTTGTAAATTAGATGAGATATTATACTCTACCCCCTTCTTAGAATCTTTGGGATTGGTTTTTTTCATTCATTCATGAATATATCCTTTCCTTTGTCTGTATATGACGACCCCTTTTTTGGTGGAGATTGTAGTCTTCTGCCACTTCTCAAATGCATATGGATCACTTCATTCATGAATACTCTTTATTTGCCTTTTTTTTAGGGATGGGAGGGATTAATTAACAACCCCTATCATCATACCTCCAACAAGAAAAGCCTTTGATCTATTGTTTCCCTTAAATGTTACCTCTAGCTGAGGGTTAGACTTGTATATAAGTTGGTTATGTGATGCCCTTGAGATCTGATTTGGAAAGGATTCTCTCTTTAATCTTTCAATTACATTATAGAGCCACTAATAACATCTATATATATTTAAATAATAAAAATAAAATAGAACTTCTATTCATAATCATATACACATTTCATGTTTTAAATCAAAACATCATTTACAATATATAACAAAAAAATAAAATACTTATAACCAACAATCTAAATTAGTCATCATGACCATTAAGTCCTTATCATTGCGTGAAACATGTGAATCACATAATGAGCTTATATCCTAATAGGTTATCAAAACTTATAGTTGCATTTAATGCATGAAAATAGAAATAATATGGATGTAATCATTCAGATTAGATCAAAATGAATATGTGATATTTGCTAGATCGGTAATTTCTGTATAATATTTTTATTAATATTTTAGATGTCATTTAATATATATGTTAGAATAGAAATTTGTATGCTAGATCAGTATCAATAATCTCTAACTCAATGCTATTCTAATATATTGTAATAACCCAGAGATATGACAAGTATTTTAAAATAAAAAATAATGTATGGAAATTTGAAATTTCTATATGAAGTTGAGCGCAGCGGCACTGTGCTAGGTAGCACTGCGGCGCTATGCATAAGAACATAGTATGACTTGTGTCTCTGTTCAATACTAACTGTGAGATCGACATTCATCATTAGGTCCACAATGTGGTGCTATGAGACTAACAATATTTATATATAATTTTTATTATATATATTACTACCATCCCTAGCCTCACCCTCATTCTCATTTTCCTTGTTTAGTAAGAAACCAAAGAAGGGGGGAGAAGAGGAAAGACAAGAAGAGAGAGAAGGGTCTTCAGGTAATTTTCATCAATTGTTTCTTTCAAAGAAATTATTCTAAACATTATAAGTAACTATTCTCTTACTTATGTTTTCAATAATTTTGATTTATATGAATTTATCTCTCATAAATCTGTTAAAATTGCATTATCTTCTGATTTCATAAGCTTTCACTTTGAAACATTTGATATATTATAGATTTGATCATTCTGAATGAATCGATACGATTTTTTTTTTTTTTTTGCATTTTCACTAATTAAATATTATTCTAAGCATATTAAGTAACTATTATCTTACTTCTATTTTCGATGATTTTGATTTCTATGAATTTAACTATCCTAAATCTTCTAAAATTGTGTTATCTTCTAACTTCATAAGCTTTCACTATGTAATATCTGATATGTTATAGATTTAATCATTCTGAATGAATTGATATGATTTTTTTTTTGCATTTTCACAGATTAAATGTGTAAAAAAATTCCTTGGTGAAATGAGTAGGAAAAGGTATACTAAAAATGGGTTGAAAGTAATGTACGATTATTTGATATGATAATAATAAAATATAATATGTTCTAAAATAATTGAAAAGATTGATATATAGTGAATTATGATATTGATTTGACTGGAAGATTATGCTACTTGATGTCAGATATATGATATGATAACTTCATATGATACATTCAAGATCCACATGGTCCACTAACGAGAGTCAGTGGATGGGAGTTATAAGGAGCTAGAGATTTATTGAGAGTTATAAGGAGTCAAGATAACTATGTGAGCTCTAAAATTTCAAGCCCCAGCCTCTCCACATCTCTCTATCTTTTTTGGGTCACTAAGGAGAGTTTTAATATGTAATATACAAAGCAAATTTACAAAATAAAGATTGGATTTTTTACAATACATTACCTAAAGATTTTGCCCTCATTTTATGAGGACTTTATAATTTGAGTTTTGGTTTCCTATAGGCACAAGTCCTCATTGTTAATTACCCCTCCCTATAGTGAGAGAGAATTATGGCCCGTCATCAAATAGATACGTAGTATACGGTATATAGTAACATCATGATTTGATATTTAAATATTTAATATTTAAAATTAAAAATTCACCACTTCATACTTAAAGCGGATGGTGAGGGGAATGATGATATACCTGATCAATATCTCATGGTTCCGTTGTCCCGGGTCATCATGGCCTATAATCTACTTATTTAGAGGAGGTAGTTGACCCTACCTGACTGAAGGATCATTGTCGGCAACCATAGGTTACTTCGTCCAAGGGTACTCTGTAGACTTCGAATGAATATTTGCTTAAAGAGACAAAATTGAAGATATCTTAGATAATAGAGGGCTTTGTACCCTATCGGCCATATTATAATGATTCATTACTCAATGATTTAATATCATTAGGGAATATACCGGCTCTGACCATAACTGTAATTTCTTGGTGCTATTTAGCTACAAAACCACCTAGTTAGAGGGTTCCGGTCATAATTATTTACCCGTGATGCCATTTGAAGGTGAAACCACCAGTTAGAAGAAAAGTGTTGCATCCTTACTAGAAAGAGACAGATTGAGAAAATGAATCCTAGTGATATTATCAACAATACATTTTCTCTTGTGAGCTGAAGTGATTTTCATGCTTGTCCACCTTGATACATTGTTGAGGGTGGATGGGTATTTTGTTTTAAGTATTTTATTATTTTATTACAATTTTAAATATTAATATCATTCATGAATATGCTAGAGTCAATTGATTATATTTTATGCAAATTTGGAGGCATTTTAAATGTTTGAGATCATTTTCAGTTGAGATTTTTGAAAGTTCGAAATGGTTGTTAGACCTAAAGATTTGTCCCAATGCTAACCAATAGGGGGGGGGGGGGGGAATTGATAATTTAAAAATTCTTGCTAATTTAAAAAACCGATTTAAGTTTTTATGCACAATGATTAATTTTCTCAAAATAAAATTTTCAATCACAAAAAGTAAATTTGCATATATTAAAAAATAGTAAAAAGTAAAGACAAAGAAACACCAAA